GTCTGGAATGTTTCCCACTTGTGAATAATCTTCCTCACTGTCGGCTGGCAACTCCCCAGGGGAGGGCCTTCTCTGTAGCTGCTCCGGCCCTATGGAACGATCTCCCAGTTGAGATCCGGACCCTTACTACCCTTCTGGCCTTCCAGAAAGCGACTAAGACCTGGCTGTTCCGGCAGGCCTGGGCTGTTCATTTATCCAGCCCCATCCTAAGTTATGAATGTTGTGGAATTTTTAATGTTGTCTTTTTTATTCTTTGTATGTCCCCCCCCTTCCTTTTTTTACCTGTAAGCCCCCCTGAATCTTCCGAGAGTGGGCAGCATACAAACCAAATAAATACAAATACAATACTGTAGAATGATGGATTTTAAATAGTTTGGAAATGGCCTTTTAAACATTCCCAAATTGATGGGCAGCAACAATTGTTTTTCTTAAGATCATTGCTGATGTCTTTATTCTTTGGCATTGTGTTAACACACACCTCAATGCCAGGCACCACGAAACTCCTACAACTTTGGATTTTATAGATGTATTCATACTTGCTGATGATCAATTGATCAAAGGTACTTAATAGCAGTACTTGGCTGCTACTTCGCGTTTTATATTATGGAAGCAGTGAGAATTTTCCTAATGGTGAGAACAAGTAACCAGCAGAATGGCTTGTCATCAGAAGTTGTGATGGAAGCTTTTGAGAGAGATTAGAGAGCCATTTATTTGAAATGGTGTAGGGTCTCCTGGTTTAGCAGGTGTTGGATTAGAAGAACTCCAAGGTCCCTTCCAATTCTGTTATTCCCTTCTGTTCTGTTGCAATGATATTTATGATATCCTGGTAAGTTTAACCATAGAAATGAAAGAGGATGTATTTTCTTTTTCAATTGACTGTATTTGAAAACAACCTTTTGCAATGCTAAGAATTTGTGATTGACCCAGTCAACAAGTGGATTTCATGATTGAATAGATATTCGAACTTGGATCTGGGTAGTCTTCCAGTCATGATTAATGTAAGAGCTTCTTTGAGTATTGTGGCATGTTTGCTTTTTCATTGTAATGTAAATGTTTTTCCCCTTCATCATTTGCAACCATTTCATGCAAAGATACATTTTTATTTGTTTCTTCTAGACAAAGAGGATGGCAATAAGAGCAATCTGGACAACTGAGGATAACAAGCAACCTTGAACAGCTAAGCAACTCCGCAGAGAAATCAAAATATTTTCCATTTCCTTCAGAGAGCCACACAAGTCTTCACCTTCCTCAGCAAGTGAGAGAGAAACGAGAGAAAATCAAGAGGAGATTTCCAGGAGGGAAAAATTAGAATGTGAAATCCAAAGATATGTTACACTAAAAACCAAGCGAGATTATTTTTCCATTCAGCAAAAGAATGGAATATCTGGAAGTTACTGTGGAGGAAAAGGTCAATTGGAAAGCCACATAGGGCAGACAATGTTGCAGGCCTCACTCTGGGAGGAAGAAAACGTCTTGAATCCATAACTAAACAAGGTACCATCCATATTTTTGACCTCCTCAGGAATATTAGTTGTAGAAAAGCTCCATAGACAAAAGATACATCTTGCAAATCAGAGCTGATTATGCCTGAGAGGGTCCAGACTGGAGAAAAGCCATACAATGCTCTAAATGAGGCAAAACCTCTGATCAGAACAACTCCATTGTGGTTCTTGGAATGACCCACACAGGAGAGAAGCCCTACAAGTGAACCAAAGGAAGTGAATGTTAGCAAGCATGGCAACGTGGACTCACACGGAGGAGAAACTGTTTGAATGTCCTGATTGTGAGAAATGTTTTTGTGATAATTCCAACCTGATGATACACCAGAGGATTCACACAGGCGAGGAACCCTTTAAATGTCCTGACTCTGGGAATAGTTTCAGTCAAAATTCTCACCTCGTTTCACACCATAGTACTCATACAAGAGAGAAACCCTTTGAATGTTCTGTTTGTCAGAAAAGTTTCAGTAAGAATTCCAGCTTAGTGACACACCAGAGGACTCACACAGGAGAGAAACCCTTTAAATGTCCTGATTGTGGAAAAAGTTTCAGTCAGCAATCCAGCTTGGTGACACATCAAAGGACTCACACAGGAGAGAAACCTTTTGAGTGTCCTGATTGTGGTAAAAGTTTTAGTCACAATTCCAGCCTGGTCAAACACCAGAGGACTCACACAGGAGAGAAACCCTTTAAATGTCCTGACTGTGGGAAAAGTTTCAGTCAGAATTCCAGCCTAATTGGCCACCAGAGGATTCACACAGGAGAGAAACCTTTTAAATGTCCTGATTGTGGTAAAAGTTTCAGNGATGCATACCTGCACGTATATCGCAACAAAAAGCTAAATAAATTGTTGGAAGAAAAATCTGGTCCTGTTCCAAGCTCGGGAGAAAGGAGCTGAAAATAAAACAGAGGCTGATTGGAAAGAAGGATTCTGTTTACTGATGAGCAGAACCAACAGCATCATGTTGTTCTGGGTGACAAAATGGGGTTGGGATAGGTGGGCTTTATACATCCTTTGGGGTTGTGCAATATAGTGAGATTCTATTGTAATGGTCCTGGGTTAATCCTACTATATCCTAAAAGTCTTGTCCTTCTTAATCCCATCAGCTGGAGCTGAAAGTGTTTGGTTTGTGAATAGATTGGCCCAGTCTCTCTTAATGGGCACAAAATCTACCTCTCTAAAGACTTCAGGCATCTGCTGTTGCAGGCTGCTTTCACCCTTTGCTTCCATTTCTCCTTTGGAGAAATATAATACTCTGCCTCTTTTAATATTCCCCAAAATATTTCAAAATTAATACCAAAGATTAAAATCAAGGACATATAGGGAAGGCGGGGTGGGGGTGAATGGGGGTGGGGGAGGTAGGATCTACTACTTGATCAAGGATGAGCATAGGTAGTCCTCACATACCATTGGCTCACTGAGCCTTCCAAGTTACGATGGCACTGTAGAAGCAGATGTAGTTATGAAGGTGGAGGAAAAAGAGTTGCACCAATTTGGATACTGCCAACTTGTGCACTTTTATATCATGGTCTGAGCATCCAACACTCATAATCCCCATTTGTGACCTTCCAGCTGGCTTCTGACAAGCAAACTCAGGAAGTTGCAAGCCATGGTGATGTGAAATTACCTTTAACAAGCCACAGTGATTTGTTTTGAGAACTGCAGAGGAACAAATGTAAGTTGCCACTTTCATGTGACCTCATGCTTCATGATTGGGGGGCTTAGTGGCACAGATGCTAGTCCCAACTGCAGTCAGTAAGTGAGGAGTACTTCAATTGGGATGTCACAAAAGGGGTTGTGGAAAGTATTTTCTGCCCTTACTTGGGGCTCATAGCTTCCATGGACATAACGTGTGCTTCAAATCTTGCAGATGGTTTTGGCATCATTTTGTCAGTTAAAGCATCTGTAAAGTTAAGTGTCATGCAGATTGACAGGTTTGTCTAGGTAAAACAAAAGATAGAGTTTACATGTGTGTGTTGATAAGCCAACACATGTATTCATCTGAATAAAGATAGGTCCCACCACTGTGCATGACGGTTTGTGCTAATATGCTGTGTTTGGTTTTCGTCAAACATGTCACTGCATTAAGGCTGAACATCTCCACTTTGGTCTGTTCTGTTCAAAGAACAGTATTCCAAAAGTCCTGTGATTTATTCAGATGCCACTTCGCAAATCTCAGCTATGCTGCTATGACTTTTTTATAGACAAAAGGATTTCTCCTCACAGCCCTTCCAAACAAACCATACTTGTTCAGTCTTTTTCTAATTGCACTGTCATGAATCTTAACATTTAACATGCTAACTGAAGCCTGTAAAGCCGTGGGTCTCAACCTTCCTAAGTCCGCGACCCTTTAATACAGTTCCTCATGTTGTGGTGACCTCCAACAATAAAAGTATTTAATGTTTTCTGTATTTTTTCAAAAATATGTGTTTTCTGATGGTCTTGGGCTACCCCTGTGAAAGGGTCATTCGACCCCCAAAGGGGTCCCGACTCACAGGTTGAGAAACACTGCTGTAGAGTCTGAGATATAACTCTTTGTTTTTTAGCAATTTCTCTGGCCATTCTATCGTCTGACCTTGGGGCGAACTTTCTTGCATGTCCACTCCTGGGAAGATTGGCAACTGTCTGGAATGTTTCCCACTTGTGAATAATCTTCCTCACTGTCGGCTGGCAACTCCCCAGGGGAGGGCCTTCTCTGTAGCTGCTCCGGCCCTATGGAACGATCTCCCAGTTGAGATCCGGACCCTT